ACCGCATCTCTGCGTTAGCTCGGCTTTGAGTCCATAGCTGCCCCGCATACCTGTCCCCAGGAGGAATAGTGAACCACCATGATGATGCATATGTGTAATATACAGATAGACTGACCCCAAGCAGTACGGTGCCATACCCAGTCTTGGAAGCAAGAGGAAACTGTTTGTTTGTTTGTTTTTTTTTTTTTTTTTTTTTTTTTTTTTGGTTTAAGGACTCTGTAGATTCTACTAGGGGTATGAGCACATCCCCCTAAAAGGACCTATTGAAGTCGCTCCATCTATTGGTGGGGAGCTACACCTGCTGGACCCGTTACACCTGCTGGAAAACGGGTCCAGCGTCCCTCATTTGACAATAAAAATATGAAAGTTTGAACAATTGGATGTAGTGGCTTGGAGTGGGATGTAATTGGGATCCAGATCAGGGTGGTACTGGGCAGTACTGGGCTAGATGCGCCGCCAAAACTCGGGGCGTAGGGCCCGTGGCTCATAGCTGCAAAAGGTGCTGGCGGTTTAAGATAGACATCCCTTTCTGCAATCCTGAATGCTTCTGTTGAAGCTGTTGTACCATTATTCGTATTGACGGTTCTGTCAGGAACGCTGGACCCGTTTTCCAGCAGGTCAGCTGCTCCCCACCAATAGATCTGTCTCTTATACACATCTAGATGTGTATAAGAGACAGCTTCACAGGAGGCTCACTTGAGGAGGGTGCTCTTACCACCTCCTCAAGTTTTGCCCTCAACCGAAGTTTTCTCAAAAAAAAAAAAAAAAAAAAAAAAAAAACCCAGGAAAGTCTTGTAGTGTGTTCCTCTTCTTTTTTTTTTCTTTTTTCTTTTTTTAATAAAGAAAACGAGTAACCTCACTAGGGGGGGTGATATGAGCAGCCCCCACTAGGTAGTAGGTGCCCACGGTTGCTCTAGTAGCGTGTTCCTCAGTTTTTCCACACTTAAAGTCCACAGAGATTACCACCGTCGGGATGGAGAGCTTACATAAGGGCTTTCTTTGCCAAAAAAAAAAAGTAAAAAAAAAGTCCACATAGTGTGTCTGTTAGCCGCTGTTCCTTGCCACTCTGGTGCTAAGGCTAATATACTCACACTGCCCAGCTTTTTGGTCAGATTCATCCGAGAATGATGTTGACGGGTGTTCTTGCCATTCTGGTGCTAAGGTCATTAGTCTATACTCAGAGTGCCGCTTTCTCAACTTAGCCTCAGGCTGGCTCACTATGGTCATATTTCCTGTCAGATCCATGCAGGAAAACCCTAGTGTGAACATACCCTGAGAGGCCTTACTGACTTGCCCTGCTCAGCTTCGCCCCTCCTTCGAGGCCCCCCGCCCCCCCCCTCTGGCCCCCGGGCCAGAATATACAAGCAGTTTACTGTAGTAGCCTTCTATAGAACCTTTCAAGCCATAAGACCATACATGGGGAGAAGCTTGTTTTTTTCTTTTCTTTTTTTGTTGTTGTGTTATTTGTCCAAATGTTGTATCTTCGACTCGCTGGCAGAAAATGAAAAGGAACTGGATGGACAATCCCCTGGGACAAGGTCCCACATATCTGGATTCTCTGTTTCTGGTCATCCATCTGCATGATCTACAGCCAGAAATGCAAATTGGGGGTAAGTGGGGCCTCGCCCTCAGGGATAGGAGGAGCAGTACCGAATGACGTTTGTGTTTTTAGACACCCAAAAAAGATGTTGAAGCAGAAGAAGAAGAAGAAGAAGAAGAAGAAGAAGAAGAAGAAGAAGAAGAAGAAGAGGATAGGATACCTACTGTCTTTCCCGAACATAACTCACCCTGAAAATGAATGTATACAAGCTATCTTTCCGGTTTGGTACAGCGATAGCCCAGGTACGTTGTGTTTGGGGGAAAACAGTAGCTCAGTCGGTACACCAATGAACTGTTCAAATGCAAATACAAGTTCGAACCCGATGCAATCAGATGAACAGAATAAAAGAAATTCTGAACTGCCCAGGACTGTCAGTTTAATGATTATATCTCAAGGCTGTCACTTTTTAAAAGAAGACTGTAGGATAGGATATCAATAGTGAGGCCAATAGCTAAAGCATCCGTGCTTACAAAAGAAGACCTTATAGCTCGTGCACGACAGATATAGCCACCGCTCATAAAGCGCATGGTCGCGGCACATTTCAGCTGGTTGCACACAAGGTCTCCTCAGGGTGTCTAATTACCCCTCYCCCCCCCCCCCCCCCCCCCCCCCCCCAAATGAACAATCATACACCCTGGTTCGTCCGTTTGCAGGGCCTCAGCATGAACCTCTAGCCATTCTTACGACTGAATGCATGTTGGGCCCAATTCATCAAGAGTGGTCTCTCTGAGACTTAGGACATGCACAACATGCATCTGGTTGTAAGAATGACTAGGTGCATCCTGAGCCCACGCTGTTACGTCAGCCAGCTAATGGATATTGAAAGGTACCGTCCTCCCCCAACATAATGCACCCCGATAAGGAATGTATACAAACTATTTTTGTCTTCTTCGGTCTGATGCAGTCAAAATGATGATGCGTTGTGTTCAGTAGAAGACAGGAGTAGCCTTTGGACTCCATTCCGGAAATCACCGAAGTTTCTGACGCCTACCGTGTTCCGCGGAACATAACGTACCCTTAAAATGAATTTTCAATTTTTTATACAAGCACCCTGAGAATGAATGTATACATACTATACAAGCTATCGGTACAGCCATAATCAGGGTGAACTGTGTTTGATCCCCACTATGAGGCTCGCTCCAGTAAAGTTGAGTAAACAACATTCCTTGAACCACCAGTACATCTGGGTCAGCTATCGGCCGTGGCCAACGGGCACGACTTTAGGAAGTACTGGTGGTTTAAAGCACCTGTACATCTGGGCCCTTCGTTGTGGGCCTCCCAAACGCCGTGCGCGCCAAAGGGAAACAAAGTTTGTTTTGTTCGGCGTCTTTGCCATCTTTGGACCATCTCCAGCTCTTGCTGTCATATATATACATATATATTATATAGTCAAACAGAGCTGCCCGGTAAACCGTAGGCAGAGAGGGAGAATCTTTTTACTGGAAATATCAGCCTTGGGCACAGGGCCCTTTTTTTTTTTTTTTTTTTAAGGCAGAGAATGAGAAGAGGACAACAAACGAGGGGCTGTGGCACACTGTTTCGTTGGAGTTACGATATATATATTTTGTGACGATATATGCTACGACTTCGCTAGCTTCCTGCTACGGTTTTTTCCGGTCAGTCAAGCGGCAGTGGTCGGGGCTGTTACTAGGCGGCCATGCTGTGCCTCTAGTGCCAGCGGCGTGTCTGGAGTGTATTTTTTGGCTGTGACAGACCTTTCTTTGTTTCGTGGATGTTTTGCTGACTTGTGATGGGGTGTGAACCGACAGTCTGTAGAGTTTTCCATCTGGTGTGGGTGAGTGATAGTCTACTTTGATTTT